AAGAACGACAGAAGCAGCAGCAGCAGCAGAGAAAATCAATATGGATGGACAAAGAATATATATGGGCAAATGGGCATATGTATAAGAGCAGGCTATATACACATGTATCCGAGAGTAGATGTTTGGCCAGCAGAGTCAACGGGGCGGATGAGAAATGGGTTTTTGCTGCATTTTAGAGAGGACAAATTGATTAGAGATTATAGAATTAAGACAAAAATTTGTAGAAATCAAATGGTTTAAGTTAAGATTAAGATTAAGAGAAAGCTCCCCATAAAATTAAATACCAAAATAACAATTAATGACAAAGAAACCAGTTTCGAATCACCTTCAATAATAACCCTAAACTGCAAGAGTAATAAAATTCAACGAATATCTCGCCAAATTATACGATGCTTTGGAATTAGATCGACGTCCGTGGTGAGTCACGGTGAGCTCGCCGCGATCCTCCATTCGATCGCATTGGGAAATGTGTAACCATTGTATATGTTTGTGGGTTTGTGCGGGCAGAAAAGTCGTATCAGCTCGACGATAAGCAGCAACATCTGTTAAGCAAGTCCCCGTGACTGAACCAGAAACAGGCAGTCAGCGGTCGGCAATTGATCTATCTATATAGCCCTCAGAATTCTTTGCTATATCTGGAGCAGAGCCAAATACGCAGAAGCTAAAGTGAGCTCAGGTGAGGTGTAGTTATTTTTTCTGTTTTATGGGCCAGCCGATTTCGATAATCGAATAGAGTCGAGTTCGGTAGTGGGCTTTCCGGCTATATGACACCGGACCAAGTAGAGAACTTGATGCTACCACTTGAAACTTGGGAAGGGCATGGAAGATAAGTGGTTTCCTTAGTTCTAGCTCTGTATATTTCAGAAGCCTTACTTGAAGTAAATTAGTCTATAAAGCTTTAAAGTTATGTTCTTTCGAGATGTTATACAAGATCTGAGTTTTATAAGCCACTAAAAAGTTCCTTAAAAGTTTCCACATAGTTGATCATATAACATGATAAACATAAGTATTCTCATCATAATTTTATTTTAAATATATTATATATTACGGTTAAAAATCGCTTATTATTATACATCTACAAAACAGTTAAAACATTTAATACTCAAATGAATACTATGCTTTTACTAGTTTGACTTTTTTCACTTTAAATCCTAAAATTCTGTACAATTTTCCTATGTTTTCTGTAGTGTCATAGGGTCTGAAGGGGGGCCTTGAGTTATAGCCTTCGACTGATGAGTTGCACTCTGCGAGACACGCGGCTGCTAAGCTCATCCGACTGATTGGCGTCGTCAGTCGATGCCATTCTCATGCCCATTCCATTATTATTTTCATTCCGAGGCGCCGATAGCGCTGGCTGCAATTTCCAGTTAATTGCATTTCGTTGCCGACTACGCTAGCCGTAAAATATTTGTGTATAGATTTGGGTTTCTTCGTGAAGAGGCTTCAGATTATGGGCCCCCATAAGGAAGAACCTTGTGCGTTTATGTAAACATTGCAAATCAATCGAACTATCTGCCCCTTGTTTACGTTTCCCCCTCTGCGTTCTCTAATAACTTTTGAGATATTCCCAAGTCCCCACTGTCAGCTGCGGTTAGTAGTAAGGAACAGATGACGGATTGTCCAGGTTTTATGTTTTTTTTTTCTTACTCCCAGAAGCTGTGTAATCAGGCAAAGAATACACACTAATTTGCGGTTGCTCCATCTGGCCACCGACTTGATAAAAGTAAATATGCGGCCCGAAAAAAGGGAGTTCACATCAGCAACAGTAAGTGGATGCCACAGAAGTACTTGCGATAAGCAATTCGGGAACACCCTACTTTCACAAGAACAGGCATTTAAGATTTTAGAGAATTTATCATAAATATATCAGAACTTATGAAACAAAATTATTACACTTAAAGAATTATTAATATAAATAATTAAAACATATTATTTAAAGCATTGCTATAATATTAGATATTTTATAAAATTGTAAACAAATACAAATGTGCATTTATCACATATCGTATATCATATCGAATGTTTCGATTAACATCGATACGATAACGATCTTTTTATACATCTCTTTAATCTATCCTGACTTTCTGCTAGCAAAATTACTATATATTCACAGAAATATCTTTTAATTTGTCCAGAAAAACCGCAAAAGATAACCCCAAAATCAAGTCTCTGGGGTCATCCGCAAAAACTGTCACTTGAGTGCCTTTTTCAAACAGATTCCCTTGGATTGCGGTTGACCATTTTTTATGGGGACATGCTAACGAGCTGGCCCATGCATTATAATTACGAGCATGATAATAATAAATAGTCGGGGTAACTCGGGCCCCAAATCGCAGCGATAAGATTTAAAATTTGCGGTCATCTGTTTGTCCCATGGGAACTGGAAACGAATTTACTAAATCGGAAAGTGCTCGGAAAACGAGACGATTCCAGGAATTTATTATTGCGCTGCTACACTTTTCATTATCCATGAGTGGGCAGAAATCGGCATACAGACAGTTAATTACGTGGATGCATGGCGATCATTGATCTATATAAGAAATGCGAGGCATCAGCGAAATCCAAACGCGAAGCGGTAAATTAAGACGCAGTACGATATGTAAAGGTAATTGTACGTGGGATCACGGTCTCAGCAGCTTTTTGGGGATTGTGATTTCAGAAGGCACTTGAATTTGAAAAAAAATAAATAATTTATTAAATAAAATCGATCTTTGCCAAAAATAAGGGTTTTTGGTAGAACCACTGAAAAAACCATAACATTCAAAATGCGCGGAAATAAGTTTAATCGAAGACACATTACTTGTAATTGTTATGACCCATTATACGAGTGTTATTGACCCGCGTAGACTCCCCCTGCTAGGTAAACAAATCATTGCCGGGAGAATCGACCATTCTGTGGTTCTGGGGCTACGAAAGCACGTGTCTGGTAAATGGTATATGGTATCTTGCTGCCATTAATCATGCATCCACGTCTGACCCACCTGTCGCCCTATTGATCAATCCCCCTTTCCCCCCACTGCCCCCTTTATATACATTTATAATGTATATATATATACCCGCCCGATCTCCGGTTTCGTTATGTGCATGTTGCAATTTCATGATTCTGATGTCATTGAACAAACACAAAGACCAGAAGAACAACATCTCCGCAGCGACGAATATATGATTTCGATATATGTTTTTTTTTCTTCTGTATTTCATATTTTATTAAACTCATTGTGGCCTGATTTTTATCTTGGCAATGCAGTTTTCTGATACTCGAATTCTATGCGGACTTCGATGATGGGTTTTTTGGGGGGGGCTTCTCGTATTACCGCCCAAACACGAAAGGGGCTGATATTTTGGATGGTTGGGTTTTGACTTCCACTTGAGTGAGCGCTTTTCTGCTTTTGACTGTGGCGAAATTCGCTGATTCTGTGCAAAAGTCAATTGAGTTTGTATAATATATACGCCTTGATATTATATATAGAATGAAATCATTGCCACACAGATTAAGTTAGGTGAGTTTGCTGGGTAGCATTCTGAAGGGTTCCAAAGAACTTGGACTTGAAAATTGATAAGCAAATTTGGGCACTTCTACTAGCAAATCGTCTAGGTATCTGCAACATTTATGGCACTCGATTTTTATCAATCCAAGAAATAGGTAATCAATGTCTGACCTATAAAAATGGCTGGTCATTTAACAAAACTGACGAAGCCAATGACTATCATGATTGTTCTATTATTAAACAATGCTTTTATTTATTTTCAACGAGAATTCGCTTCAATTTCGATCCTAAATAAAATCAAAAATTTTTATTTGTTCATATATCTTTAGAATTAAAGCAATTACAAGGATATTGATTGAAATCACAACCAGGTGCAATGATCTTGCCAATTCGGTGATTAAGGGTTAGGCACGGTGATTCTATCGATTTGGTTCGGTTCCTTTCTGGTTTCCCCCCTATCGCTGGGTTAGTCACTTCTTATTGAACTTCGAACGCTTTTGCCATATATATATTTATCACATGAGACGGCCATAAACCGAGGGGCAAAATGATAAAACGCTACGTTGATATAACTTCTCCTTCTGGCATTTTACTGTTGGGCTTTTCTTTGTAGAATTTGTAGAGTGTCCCACGAGTTTGGGATCTTGTGCCTTCTTTATAATTTAGTTTTTTTATTTTTTTTGAGGGGTTGTGGGTGTGTCGGTTGCTGGGCGATTGGGCGGTAATATTCATGGCGCCCAAACAGCTTTAGGCAAACACCTCCCAGTAAAGCCGCCTGCCCCCCGACTCTACGATTCCCTCAATTATAATGAGCCACTTGAGCTTCCAGAGAACCCCGAACGAAGAAGCGACGAAGGTTTCTCAATGACATCGATTGTTCACCGCGGCCAGACGCACAGATACACGTAAAAAAGTACGCCCCATAGATACAGATACAGATACGGAATGTATCTGTATATGTGTGTGTGTGTGCTGTGGCGACCCACATCGTTTGGCCATTTTCTTATTTACCCTTATCGAAGGCGACGCCAGATTTTCAACGTTTGATAAATGGGGGCGCGCACATTACGAACTTGGGATTTCGTTGGGAGGCCAACCTATGGACTTATAAATATACATATACATATGTAAAAAGAGAGGAATGTTTGAATTATGTCGACTAAGATAGAGAAGAAACCCCTATAATTTTTTGGCCGTGTACTTTCTGTGAGGGGAGATACTTTTTCCCGGATATATAACTTGCATGCCACTTCAACTGTTTACATTGCACTCCACAGAATCTGTTTAGATTGTTGATGTTTCTGCCTACAAATACTTCACCAATAGAGGATACTTAGAGATACTTTATGCCCCAGCAGATACTTATAAAGGTTATCTAGAAGCTGGCATATTCAACTAACTAGGAATTTAAATCAAATTTTTAAATTTAAACTGCTGCTTGGCTTCTTCGATCGCAAAACTCGATCAGGTTTTCGGAGAATTGACTCAAATCTTAGCAACACTCGACTTAAAAAGTGTAAATTAATATTCGGAAAACAAATTATATTTTCAAATCAAAAACAGATTTATTTTCATAAGAAACGCGATCAAAGAACAAAAAAGAGATAGAATAGTCAAGCGACTGCTTTTTGTGTAATACTTGTGCCTGTAAAAATAAAAAGAATTAATCAAAATGGTGGGCACAACACTTAAAATGCGTGACGACGAGAACGCTTGGAAGAATTTCAAACAAGTGCAACTGAAGAAATTGACAAAGCCTTCACAGGAGGCAACAACAAAATGCGCTGCTTTGGGAGATTTACTCCAGCTCACAGATGCCCGTCGCAATGCCACGGCTCGAGTGGATATTTACTGGAAAAAGGCCCAGGAAAACATCAGTAATGGCAATACCGCCGCTTCACCCAAAGAAGAAGGCGGTTCGGCACTTTTGCGCGCAAATTCGATGCGCAATCGCATTCCGACCAAGCCAACAACTCGGAGAGAGCCGGAGACCAAGACGGAAGTAGTGGAGAACAAAAAGGCAGTGTCGGAGGCCAAGAAAGAAGTGACCAGGATGCCTCTCATCGCTGCAACCACCTCAACGATGCCAAGCACCATGTCTCTTTCCAGCAAGCGATTGGCTGGGATCGAGGACATCGATGCCAACGACAAGGAGAACCTGGTGCTGGTCTCCGAATATGTGAACGACATCTATGACTATTTGTACCAGACGGAACAGCAACAACCCATACACAAGGATCACCTGGCCGGGCAGAAGGAGGTGTCTCACCACATGCGATCCGTGCTGATCAATTGGATTAACGATGTCCACTTGCAGTTCCACCTGACTCCAGAAACCTTTCAGCTAACGGTGACCATTATCGATCGTTATCTGCAAGTGGTTAAGGACACCAAGCGCAACTATTTTCAATTGGTGGGAGTGGCTGCTCTCTTTATAGCCGCCAAGTACGAGGAGCGGTGTCGACCGACCATCGTGGATTTGGTTTTCATCACGGACGACACGTACACAGCCCGACAGATCCGTCAAATGGAGCTGCAGATCTTAAAAGCCATCGACTACAATCTGTCGCGTCCGCTGCCGATTCATTTCCTGCGGCGTTACTCGAAGGCTGCCGGCGCGGACGATAAGCACCATGCCATGTCCAAATACTTCATTGAGCTAGCTTCTGTGGATTACGATATGGCAACCTATAGGCCATCGGAGATTGCAGCTGCTTCGCTGTTCCTGTCGCTGCACTTGCTCAATGGAAACTATCGGGCTGGGACAGGATTCAACGACCGCCACTGGACTCCCACCTTGACCTACTACTCGCGTTATTCGGCTGCCCACTTGCGACCCATTACACGGCTAATTGCGAAGCTGGCCCGGGATGCTCCCCAGGCCAAACTGAAGGCCATCTACAACAAGTACCAGGGGAGCAAGTTCCAGAAGATTGCCCTGCGAATGGAGCTAAGCGGTGCCCTAATGGACTCAATCGTGGGCCAGAGTCAATGGAAGTAGTTGGGCGGAAACAATATATTTTATCAGTGCTATTTTAACTTGAGTTTAATATTTAGTATCAATTTACTTTAATATAAGCAAATAAAGGAAGAGTTTTATCCAATCTTGATGTTTCTGAAAGTGTACGAACAAACATATAACAAATAATGTTTTTTTGTACCTTAAAAAAAAAATCATAACTTTTAATGATAAATTAGATTTGATACTGGTGAAATTGTTACGGAAATTAATTTTCAATTTTAAGATTAATTTCTATGGAAATTTGTACGGCATTGTGATAACTTTGAAACTATTTAATATTTGCCAGCTTAAGACGTCAGATGACACTTATTACTCAACTCTTTTCCATAGAAACCCGAAAAGGGAGTTCCAAGTGCTCTTGACTATCCCCCAACTTGCGTTTATCTGGATATTCTGCACTCATCAGGGCCGAGACCGACCTATTGATAGTAACCGACCTTCTGCCGATATCTCACAATGAAGGCGTCGTCGCGTCATCCGAAATTTTCCCCCAATGCGCCAGTAATTCTCCATAACTCTCGATCGGTTTACATTCGTGACTTGGCATCGTTGTCATCGCAAACAGAAAATTTTGAGACTTCTAAGCCCGAAAGCCGACAGCAGTTCGTTTGGCTTTATGGCTAGACAACAGAGACTTGGGGCAATATATAGAGCAAATGGCATTACAAGTTATCGGTGCAAGTTACAAACCCTCAAAAGTTATTGGCAAACAGCGAGGAAGACCCCGAAACGTTTCCCCTTGAAACCGAACAGTGACAGAGTGAAGTCTACCAGATAGAAAGGTAGTTATATACTTCTTCCCGACCGACCGCCTTAGCACCTCCCTCGTCTATCCAAAGTTGGGAAGACTACGCGCCCGGCGACACGATTCTTCCCGCAGACCTTCGATTCTGATCCGAAGAAATCGATGACGAGGACGCCTACAATGCCCGCCCTCCCTTGCACTGATAAGATATTTGGTTTTGAATGATGATGTGCCGTTGTCATATGTCCCCCGCCCTCGAAAAAGCTTTTTGGGGGATTTGTCGGGCATTAGATAATATCTGCATTGGGTTGCCAACTGCGTAACGCGCTTCTTCTAAACGCAAGGGGTAAATGTTTATTTGCGCACGAAAATTGTCCACAACCTGATGTCATTCCAATCGGTACTTAACCCTCCAGGTTTGTTGGCCCAATGATGATTAAGAGTTTCTTGTATCTTTTGTAAATCAACATGGAAAAACTTTAGTTAAAGAGAGTTATTTTAACATAACATTACATTCATATATAGTAGCCATTATTGTTTCAATTTATTTGTAAGAAAACATTCATATTTTTATTTAAAAATATAAATCCTGAATCTTTAATGTGCTACAAGATCGTAATGGCTTAATGCCATTCCTAAAACTGTCAGAAAATTGATATGCTAAGGCTTTTGTTTACCCATCAATACAATTGTCTGTTAAATCTTCGAAGTTTCAGGGACACCTCGATGAAGCAATTCTTCGAATTGAGTACTTCCCCGAACACCACCCCAAAAAACAAGTTAATCCCCAAGGAGAAAATATGAATTGATCTTTGCACTTTTCCGTCTCGAGACTTCAGCCTCGAAAATCTCAAAGTTCGACAAGCAAGCCGATAAGCGACCATTTTTATTTAAGGCTGCTCTCTTATCGCCAATGATTTTTCTCATTAATGCCCAGAACAGAAATTCAATTAAGGCACCTGCGATGGACGTGGCTTATCAAGCAGCCGCCCACAGGCCCCAGTCAACCAACTTTAGAGTCGGAGAAAGATAGGACCATACGACTAACGAGTGATTGCAGAGCTTGTTCTATTTTTGGGCCTTTTTTTTGGACACTCTGCGTTGACGAAATCTTTGGCACCTTTTGCTCGAGTCTATCTAAAAACCCCGCCATTCCCTTCACCCCTTCATTGGGTCAGATGATTGATATAGAAACTTCTGGTGATTACTTCCATTTGGCGTTTCTCAATCGGAATCAGGCGAGTGCCAAAAAAAAATAAAACAAAACAGAACAGAAAACGTTGAAGATAAAAACGTAAAACCCAGAAAAACCCCGAGAGAGAAAAAGATTGGAGCGGTACAGGAAATACAATATTAAATTAAATCATGGTCATCAGACACTGTATTATACCGTTTGTGTTTGTGTAATTTGGAGTTATAGCTTTTAAGGAAAAAATTCTTCTATATAGTAACTGTTGTATTTTGCTGAATAAGTTGCCTGATCAAGGCTTGTATTATCTAAAAGTATAAAAGAAAACGTTACTTGTGGCCTGAATTTAAAAACGCTTTGTAGGGTATTCTGACCTCATAGGAGCAAAAACAATACACGATCTGAATTTTTTACTGTGCAGAAAAACTGTCAGCGTAGCTTTATCTCCACGATTGCTAATGAGTCGTGGGCTAATGAAACACGGGGTGAAAGATGAGTGATGAGGGAGGGGTTAAGGGAGCACAAATCATCTGGGGCCAACACACCCACCAAAAGTTGTGAAAATAAACCCCACGATAACGGAGTGTGAGGTGTGCAAACACACCTCCCCCAATCTCCACACCACTGACACCACCTACGCATCCACATCCGCATCTACATCCGCGCTATCAGCGGGACAGGCGGCTCCTTTGAAGCCACCAGTGGGTGGTGATGAGCCACAATAACTGGCTCAGATATCACACTGCAAAAAAGGGGGGTTACAAACAGGGTGTGAGGTCTACAAGGTGAGCAGATATTGTGATTAGGCAGCTAAAAACAGATTTAGGATGGATTATTAAATTTTAGGCATATATTGTAAGAATACAAGAATTTGATAAGTCCAAGTATTCCAATTTGGTTTGTGCTCTTAGCAATTAAGATTCTACAAAACTGTCAACAATCAACAATCAATTTACTGGATTAAAAAAGAACGGATGTACAATTTTTGCAAAAAATAAATCAAAGTTAATCTAAAGAAAAAACTATTTTGTGTAAAGTCCCATCCTAAACACATAATTTTTAATTTTCATAGAGTTTTTAATGTCTAATCGCTGCCACATGTCGTACAGTCTGTTGCCAGTAAAATTGGATGTTGCTCAAAAAATCTACAGAGATGAGAAAGTCAACAAACATGGTTAGAAATCATGGTGGAAGGAGGGCGAAAGGGTGGGAGTAAGGCTGGGTGGGGAAATATATTGTTTACCCAGCTTATTAGCAAACATTCTTATCAGTCAACTCGGCTCAGTTCAGTTCAGTTCAGTCAGGTTGGGTCGACATCGATGACGATGATCATCGGTTGCAATGATGATCGTTATGATGATAATGATGATGGTGCGATGAAGATGTCTGTGTTGGCGTTGGGAAAACAAAACTGTTTGGAAAATAGAGAACGAGATGCAATAATCGATAATAGGAAACAACGGGAACAAAAGCAAAAGCAAAAGCCAAACGAAATCCAATGCGTCCAAAGAAAACACACAGTATCCGTGAGATAGAGATACAGATGCAGATACTCAAGCGACACATGCGAGGAAAAAACGCGATTATTTGCTTAAGTGTATCTCAATGCGGCTGAAATCGAAAACTCCACTCAGATACAGATACATACCGATCAGTTGACAATCAACGTTCAAACAATAAAGTCGAAAATGAGGAAAACAACAAGACTACAAAACTTTCAACGTTTATTTTCACAGATAAAAGATACAAATAGCGCAAGGCAGCGCCACAGATACAGCAACAGCTACAGCTACAGTAACGGATACAGAAAAGATACAGATATAGTCAGTCATTCAGTCAATATCATCTCAGTCATATCGTACACCTTCTTTCTGCTCTGCAAACTTGGACCAAACCTCACACAAAAATCATCATTATCATAGCCATCATCATATTAGCCATACCCATCCCGTCGCAATCCCAATTACGAGAGCATCTGTGTTGTCGCATTTACAATTCGCAATTACACTTGAGTAAATACAAATATCAACATCAGCACCCAGCCAAGACGATGTCTCCAACCTCATCGCAATGCCTGGTGACAATAACCCAAAACCTAATGAGCAATGTATTTTGGCAGAGGAATACGAGAAGACGAGACACGTACACACAAAAAAAAATATACCCTCTGAGATGTGAATTACCTTGACTTTTTAATTTTGATCTATCCTCCAAATTATGTTTTACCATCAGGAAATAATTTAATCACTTGCACATATTAATTGACTTTTTGAGCTTCAGGGCCCAAGACAGTACCTGTTTTAAAATATTCTTGTTAATTTGCAAATACACATATACATATGTACATATTTTCCATACCTTTTGTACACATGCATGCATGTATAGAACTTGCGCACACATACATTTTCACTTGACCCGCGGAGCGCCCCTTCCATGAAACACCGAAATAAACTTTTTAAACGCAAAATACGGGGGCCATTTGTGATTGCAATGAATATTGATTTTTGAGCCGTTTAGGAACTTTCAATAAACCGAAAGAACAGAAATTCTATATTTTAATGGAATGGCAGCATAAGAAAACTGGATGCTGAAAGCCTTCCAGTAAAATGGCGTCGCCTGCAAAAAAAAAGCAATTTAACCATTTAAACGCGAAATTTTCATTGTAACTTGCTCAATATTACTGCAGTCACTTCCAAACTTGTTAAATATTGCACTTTTAAAACATTTTGAGAGCGAAATACGACAAAATTAAATTAATTTGCAATTTTCACGGAGGCTGCGTCTATCCCGCGAGAGTGAACAATGAAAACTGAGAGAAGGAGAGGATTAGAGAGAGGACGAGCTTTTGATAGTGGATTAACGGTTTCGTAAGCTATTCTTCTTCTTCATGTTCTTAAGAAAGATTTTGATAGAAAATAGAGAAGGCAAATAAATTAAACAGACAAAACAACAAATTCATATTGTTTTAAAAATAAAGCGAAATAGTTACATATGTATACAAGAGTGAACATTTAAATAGGGGATGGAATAATACATTGTAGTGAGATTTAGAAAAATGATAAGTATGTGAAGAATAGAAATTAAAAA